CTACAAATCTCCTCCATTTATCTATCTACCTCTGATACTTTTTTTTTGTTTTATTACCTCATAATAAAATCAACAACAACAACAAATGAATAATTTCGTCTTATTTTACGTTATGTTTTCATCAAAACACAATATACAAAACTACTTCGTCCCTCTTTTTTTACATTGTCTATTACTGAGAACGTTGACACTAGATTTTCATTAGACTAAAATGAACTAGTTCCTTTAAATTTGGCAGTTTTTGTTTGTTTTATTGAAAAAGATTAGTAAATTTCATTAAAATCTTAAGTTAATTCAAGAGCAAATATACATACAATGTGAAAAAGTATTAAAAAAGAAAACCGGTTTTTTTTATTATTTATCTTCACTATTTGAATACATGGTACTGTAATGTTACTTCAGGTAGACTTCTACCTGAACTATAAATCTTCTCCACTTATATATCTACCTCTGATACATTTTTTGTTTTATTTCCATCACTGTATCATATATGCTATTACTATTAAATTTGATTTTGATAAAGAGAATGAAAAAAACAAAGCAAATACACTGTTTAATGAGATTTGCATGTTTAATTTAATCACTTTTGGCCGTTCATTTAGTTTTCATCAGACAATTATTATTATTATTGCTAAATCTATTTTAGGACAATTCTTTTAATGTTGGGTGATCACTTGGTTTTATTTATCGAATTCAGTTAATCAGTTTGTAATGTCACTATTAAGTTAACTAACTAAATGACTTTTATGTGATACTGTGGTGTGGGTTACTTATCTCCACACATGTAGTTTATAACGGTGTTCAGGCATAGAATGTATTTTAGTAGAAGGTCGATGAGGAAAGAATGAGAACGGAACTCATGAACAATGAAATTCGAGACAATGGATTGATATTTGCAACAGGAACAGTCAAGTTTGAGATGATGGATTGATATTTTGCAAATTAACGACTTACTATATGGTTCTCAGATTTTAGTGAGATGTTCTGTAATTTTATGTTCAAATACATTCGATTGTCCGCACTTGTGATTTTGTTCACCACAATATCATGTGTTTGAATACAATGAATACGATCTCCAATCATATCTTATTGTGATTTTTATTTGACTGTATTTTTTTGTTTTGAAATAGTGGGGAATTTTCAGTGTGTAAAACTACGTAAAATTCTTTTTATACTTGGATTCCATTTTATAATTAGATTACATTTTACAATAGTAATACTAGAATACATTTTTACGATTATGTTAATGAGTTACTAGTCTGTGTTCGTAAGGAGTAAAAACGTACTGTCTGCTTCATATGGTTAATGGTTGATGAACTTTTTTTCACCTAGTCTCTGACTGACTGTTTGACTATTCTCATCAACATGTGTTCTCTGAATTATATGATAAATAAGTATTTGTAGAGATTCATCGGTTAGCCTTCATGACTTAGTTTCGTATTTACTATGTACTTCTACTGAATGATGATGAAAGGTCAGATTTATTTTTAAAATAGATTATTTATATCAAATAAGATACTATTGATTAATTTCAGCAGTTGAGATCATCAGTCAATTGAAGCTAGACCACCATGGAAAACCTGGAAGCACTGATAGTAACTCACTGATGACAATAGTGGATGTGTCGCTCAATTTCGTGGGCTAGTTGAAGTTAGACATTACCATGGCTAGATGCCGGCTCACTGGTATACTGGTTAAGCACCTGGCGCGAGACTGATAGGTCTTGGGTCGCGGATGCACACTGCTGAGGAGTCCCACAATAGGACGAAACGGCCGTCTAGTGCTTCTAGGTTTTAAACGGTGGTCTAGCTTCAATTGACTCATGATCTGAACTGTTGAAATTGGTACAATCTCCACAAAACTCCTTCTGATTGTATTAATTAGTTTTGTCTAAAATCTCCAGTCAAGTTCATAATCATCTCAGAATCTATACTGAGAGCTGAAACAATTATTACATATGTATTGTGTTAAAATAAATGAAACAATTCACCAAGATTAAAAGTAATCATTTATAAATGAGTATAAGAAAACCAATCCATAGTTACAAAGAACTAATAAGCTTTACTAATGATTTACATTTTTAACAAAGAAAAATATTACTATTTCAATTCAATACTCAAATTAACTTTTTTTAATAAAATCAATTAAAAATCTTATTCGGATCTTTAAGAATCTAAATCATAAATCAACAAAAAAAAAATAGGAACTATTTCCTGAAAGTAATAATCAATAATTATTTATTTCAAGTAATTAGTTTAGTACTAGTATAGGGGTTGTGGAGATTATTAAGTTTTTGATTGAGATCATAAACCGATTGATGTTTTAGACCAGTGCTTCCAGGTTTCCAAAGGTGGTGGTCTAACATCAATCGGTTCATGATCTCAATAATTAGTTTGTAGTATCTCTTTGATGTTTCTTTCTTTTTTTTTAACTATAATCATTGGTTGAAATGAATGTTTTTTCTCTTATTAAATCATAACACCCTCCTCTTAAATGAGTGAATTTTTTAAGATAATCATTATTATTTGATATATTTGTTTTGTTTTTTTCAGTATCAACAACAACAACAAATTGTAGTTGATCTTATCATATTCTGTTTGAAAAAAAAAAGAACAAAACAGGATTTAATGAGATGGATATATATCTCTTCCTACTCATTTCTATATTGAATAACAAATAAATGTTTTCTATACTTATCAGATTAGATAGAATCAATGGAATATTAATTTATACAAATGTAGTTGAGTATTTGATTATCTCTATCTTAATTTCTACATTCATCATTCCCAATTCGTTTATCGTAATTACCTTGATAACACCCCCCTTATTATACATTATATTCACACAACAATCTTATTGTTATTATCTCAATTGACAAGATACATTTCTCCTACTATGCATTTTATTTACACAAAACTTTTTTTTGCATTTTCAACTTTGCTATAATACTATTCTCTATTTATTGTGACTGAACACTTTACTCCAAATCATCCTAACCTTTATTGAATGACCTTTCTAATTTGTCAAATATTACAATTTTGAAGTATACATATATATATATATATATATCAGATGGGTTTTTTGTGGAGATTGTAATAATTTCAATGGTTAAGATCATGAGCCAGTTGAAGCTAGACCACCATGGAAAACCTGGAAGCACTGGACGGCCGTTTCGTCCCATTGTGGGACTCCTCAGCAGTGCGCATCCACGACCTCGCCCCCTGCGAGATTCGAACTCAGGACCTACTGGTTTAGCGCCCGAGCACTTAACAACTGACTCATGATCTTAACCAATGTAATTACTACAAGCTCCACAAAAACCCATCTGATATTAATCAAAAATATGCTCACTAGTGACTGGCTTCACGAGGTATATCCTGGAGTTCTAGTGAGAAGTAGTGACCAGTGGAGTTCAACCACGTCTGTTGTGAGGTAGTAACTCACTGAAGACAATGGTGAATGTGTCGCTCAATTTCGTGGATTAGTTGAAGTTAGACATTAACACCGTTGGATGCCGGCTTAGTGGTCTAGTGGTTAAGTGCTCGGGCGCTAAACCAGTAGATCCTGGGTTCGAATCTCGCAGGGGGCGAGGTCGTGGATGCGCACTGCTGAGGAGTCCCACAATGGGACGAAACGGCCGTCCAGTGCTTCCAGGTTTTCCATGGTGGTCTAGCTTCAACTGACTCATGATCTTAACCATTGAAATATATATATATATATATATATATATATATATATATCGTAACAGATGTAAACGTGCACCATTTCTAACACATAACATTGTTGAATTCAATAATACTTGCCTTGTTTTTGGCCTATGTAAAATATTATAATTATGGACTTATAACTGTAGAGCCTGATGATGAAGTTATTGAAAACAATTGTTCGCTCAAATATTCTTCATTTTTGAATATTTGATATATATATATATATAACCCTAACCCTAACTTATATAGGTATCATTATCAATGTTTGACTTGATAATTTAGTAATAATAACTTGGATTAATTTTGATTTAGTTATTTATCCTCTGAAGAAGTGGCTTATACTATGTCACCAAACGTCAGAAAAGTTAATTTATTTATAACTTATGTAGATTTGTTAGATTATTAGAATTTCTGTGCCATATATTTATGATTGTTTGTTGATGTGTGATTTACGAAGAACTGACATCACTGATTATTGTTATAAATATTTTATAAGTGGTTTTAAATAACTTTGTGTTCTTAGTAGACCTGGAATATTTGACTCTAATTTGATCTCATGTTAATTATTGTCGAAATATACATGCCGGCTATCCTCATATATAATCATCGACTTAAATTGAGTTGGTGAATAACGGAATTAAATAAGTCAAATATGATAATTAATTTTGAATACGTGTATTGCATTCAATCGTTAATCCAAACACATGGTCAAAAATGAAGTGAAGAAAGCAATGCAAAGAGAATGAAACAAAATGATGTGCGGTAGAGAAGGCATGTGAGCCAACTCAAATTAAGGGTTACCCAATATTTATAGTCAGGTTGAATAGAGGCGAGACAAGGCAAAAGATAAGAGAGGTGATGCGAATAATTAACAAAGCCAAAATGTGACTCAAGGACAATGAATAGATTCATCTGTCAGAAACTAGAATAACCTGTATGGGCTCGAAATAGGGTCAGCTACTATCTGTTCTATGTGCAAAATAATTTAATCCCAGAGCTTCCGTTCGTTCTGGACATCTAACCTTATACCTACTTTGTAAACATACTGGATTTTGAGAAGTGCTGTTAATAATTTATTATTAGTTTTAAAGAGCCCACCTTATCCTTAAAATAGGTGTTGATAATTGTGTACAGAACAATAATGAAACATCTATAATTAAACGATTTAGCACACACAAAAAAACAAACACAAAACTATCAAAAATGATCACTAGAGTTAAATATCGGCCTCATCAATAGAATTACAAATTACAATATATCTCCCATTTTTTTATTAATTTAAGAGAAACTTACGTTCATTATAAACGTTTCCTTTATCTCTCCATAACATCATATTCCAATCAATAGATTCCATATTTAAACATGTTTTTGTAATACTATTCATGTAGTTTTTTAATCTATAAGGATTTGAATAGTGAGATCTTATTAAAGTTTCATTCATTTTATTATAATCATCATCATTAATATTCCATTGTATAGATTGATCATTCATGAAATCCACTGTACTACTATCTTTGTCTTTTTCAATAATATTTTTAATTGTTCTCTTAATTATTACTGACGACTCACCAATTCCATACTTTCTATCAGATATTGTATAAATATCAATGGATATAAAAATACCAGTACAAAGAATCAATAAAAGTAGCGTAGAATTACGCCATAATATCCAGTTTCTATCATTCTCATAATGTATTAAATTAACTTGTGAATTATCCATTATATTGTTAATTTCTGATGGGTTATTTTTATCACGTTTATTCGTATTGTTTAGGAATTTCAAGTTATTATTACATTGTATTTTATAGGTGTATTTTAAAAGGTAAATAAATTTTTTGGTAGTTCTCTAAATAATGTCTTATGTTTGTGGAAGTGTTAAATAACTTCCTCTCCATTTATCTTTAAATAATCGATTTGAATGTTACTTATTTCAAATGATTTTTTTTAGTTCCCAGGAGCTCACATTGTCCTACCTAAAGAGCACAAAATCAATAAAGGGGCTTTTGAGTGAGATTTCTGTGTTTTTGATACTATAAATATGATTATCTTTTACATAAAAGAAAATGGAAAGTTGAACACTATCAATGCTAAAATAATAAAGAATTTTAAAACCCAGAAAATTATCCGTGTAGATAATCTAGTTGTAATGCAGCTAACTGTGATTATAATGGGGCCTGGATTTCATCCAATGAATATTGCTCTAGTAAGCATGATTATTGGCTAGTTAGAATTGACCAATCATAAATGAAAGAACAGCTATTAAGGTAGACATGGATGATAAAGTTAAAACGGTAGGAAAGAAACATTTAAAATTATGATATTAGATACCAAGGATGTTTTGTAAGATTGAAAATTTGGTTATATATGTAATACCAATAGTTTCAACTACTCCAGATTGATATTCACATGTGTAACTGAATTAATTATAAACTATGTTAAACACAATTATTTTAAGAACTTTAATAGACCTAATAGAAAGTAAAAAAGACTTTCTTTCACCAATAAGGCTTAGCACAATATCTGTAACTTTCTTCATATAACCTAAAACTCAATTATGACTTAAATAAAACATCAGTCACATTGGAGTTTTTAGGTGTATATTTGATTGTCTCTATACAGATTCATTCAAGTTTTGAAAATAAATCTTAATGACGAACAATTCGATCTAGTTTATAATGTGTAATAACAACATTTTTCGTATAACATGGTTACAAAGTGAAACAGGGACCAAATTGTTCTTGATAATTACAATCAGTAATGCATCGTTACGTAAGGTAAGAAAATCGTATGTATATTAGTTAAAGGAGACAAATCAGAATATATTTACATATAAATAATTGATAATAACGTGATTTGTTCATCCTATTTTATGCTTAAAAATGAATACCGAAAAATCGGAGTTTCTTTTTCTTTTTCCAATCGTTCATTTCATCTGGAAACCATACTTTTAATCTACCTTCTTCCATTTAAGATTAGAAAATGCTTCTTTAATACTTTTAATCCAAACGTTAAAAAAAAATAATTTAAATCGAATTTAATTTCAAGTGTGACCAAATGAGTCTTGTTTCACATCAAAGTTATGGAGTATTATGAATAAATAAATAAATACTACTGTTGAAAAAGTAGAAACCCATATATGATAAGCATCATTATTTCATATGATAGAATCATTTCTCTATAAACTGTTGGAAGTTTTGAAGCTTGTATTAATGATTTAAGGAATGATATGAATGTAAGAATATCTAAGATAAATTATTTATACATAGTTTAATGTTAGCAACTACATTTGACAGTATTATTTCTTACTTTCTTTTTAGTATAAAAATGGATATTAAAAACTTATTCCTTATTTTACAAAATAGTTTCATATCACAAATCATAGTGACTACAAAAGCGAAAGAAAGAAATAGTAAAACATACACATATAGCATATGACTGAAATGCCTTTTCAGTATAATTAAGGCAATATCGAGGCATATGCACAGTATGCACATATGCCAATAACACACTGATCAATTACAGTCTTAAAAAACTCAATGAGAAGATACGAACCAAACAATACCAAGTGAATTTAAATTCACCACATTGCACAAGCAAGTGACTATCAGGACTCAGTAGCTGAGTTGATAACGTGATGGCGTTTGAAGCGAATGGTACTGGGTTCGACTTCCAGGGTGAATATCAACTTTGAGACGCAGGTACATCCAGCTGACGGGTCCCAAATGGGACGAAACGCGCATCCTGGATTCCACGGCTAGCCACTATCCATCATTGCTTTTCGGTATAATGTTCAAAAAAATAGGTTTAATCTACCATAAAATAAAAACTTCAGATTGTCACTTTTCTTTAGACTGATGTATTACTGATTGTACATCATTGAAAAATTCATATTCAATTTAATTTTCAATGACTTTCTGTCTTTAATAGTAGAATGTTTTTCTTTTGAATGCAAAATTACAGTGACTTCTTAAAATATGAAAATCATACATAATATACTTCATTTGTACGTCTTTTAGCAGTTGTCTCTGATAAACTTCATCGTTACCTTATTCTTGTTGTTATTATATTTACACTCTGTTTATATTCTTGTTCTTCTTAATTCGATCTTCTCAATTTTCTGCTGTCAGGCATTCTACTTCAAACTGATGTTACAAGGGTGGCCTGCTTGAGCATCTGGGCTACCTGTTCCTGCCATCCAGATATTTCAACAAGTTATCTATTTTTGTTTGTTTTAATATATTAATACGTTTATTAATCGCATGATGTATTCTGCTGCGTTTCTGAAAAGTGTACAACCTTTCGTTGTCAAAGTTACAAAAAACTCAATAAGAGCCAGTGTGGTTGCTGGTACTATACAGCGAAAAGAAAGCACATTATTCAAATGTTCATTTACTGAACTGCTAACATCTAGCTGGTGATCACTCGAAATCTATCGCCAGGACCGACCAAGAAGAAAGAAACGGAAACTTGTTGAAATACTTCACGCTGGGAATTCTATATTGTACCAAAAATATAATATTGAATAAAGCTGATGATAATAACAATAATAATAATACTTATATCTGTCAACATAAACAACATACGCTACAATATGTATGTTTTTAATATTCTATGCGTTTTTGTTCTGCTCATTACTCAACCATTGAGATTTCTAGTTCATCAGCTTTTCATCCATGATATTGATCACAAAGATAAAAATTTCATGAAATAAGAATTTCTGGTTTAAGTTTCAAATAGACACCTTTTGATGGTCTAGTCAGACAATTTTATAAGAATCGTTTAATGATTGACAAACAACACATACATACTAACTACATACTACAAATCTTAGATAAATGCCACTGTTATAGAGTCCATTGCCAAAAAGTTCCATACTAGCATGAAACAGCTGTCTAATACTTCCAGGTATTCAGTGGTGGTCTAATATTGATCGATTCATAATCTCAACGAAAAAATTCAACAATCTTTACAATTCTATAGTTATAAATAATTACGAAAGCAATTTTCCCTTTTAAAAAATGATTTTAACAATTCATATTATAAACACTTATTATTATTCGAGTATATAGTATGGGAAATATTTTTTTTCTTCTTTGAAATCCCTTTTTCTTAAAGTTTTCCCATTTGTTTCTTTTTTTTTTCTTACATAGAAATTTGCTAATAATCGATGAAAAAGACCCTTAGGCCATACACTTCTGTCTTTACTCTTTTAACTCAACGTATTAACTTTTACTTAACTAATTTTAATGAAAAATTTAATAAACAGCTTTTATTCTCTTTTAAATATTCTTCTATTCCTTATATTTTCTTAGTTCAAAACTGTTAAGGATCATATATAAATTGTGCTCAAATTAGAAATGTTGACAATTTGTAGTACAAATATGTAAGAAGTAATCATGATTAAGGTGACAAAGTGTATAAAAACACTCTACAATTAAAACACGAAGTTCAGTGAAGGGATCTCTTTTCAACGAATTTAATATCAAGCTGTACAATCGTACATATATATATATATATATATAAAAGTACTAATTCCGTGAGGAAATGTGAACACAATTAACCAAGACGACGTAATAAAAAGATTATAATACTATATTACGTAATACGAATGATAGCAATAGATTTAGTGAATATAATAAGATAATTAAAATGCTTTATAATAATTAAAGGTAATAGAGATGCAAAAAATAAATAAGGTGATATAATGAGCATTTACGAATAAAACAATGAAAATATAAGACATAAGTAAAGGGGGAATGCAGTAATAATAATAATAATAATAATAATAATAATAATAATAATAATAATAATAATAATAATAATAATAATAATAATAGGATAATTAAAATAATTAAGGTCAAGGTAACGATAACGATAAGACGTAATTCTTTTGTACGCATAGTTCTGGTTTAAGCTCCTGGATGGTAAGAGCTTCGGCTATTTTTAAGAGTTGGATACGAAGAAATCTGGGTAGATTTGAATGAATCATATAAACAACCTTAAATTCGTTTTTTGGATCTGTGGAATGGTTATAGTCGATTAGGTGTTTCAGTATAGAACTAATAACTGCTTTCCTTTCCCCCTTATAGAACCAAGCTGGAATATGTTCCCGTATCCGAGTTGAAAGCGAGCGCTGGCTACGGCCAATGTACCTTGCTCCACAAGAGTAGGTGGACTGGTAGATGCACATTGAGGCGACCAGACACGGAAGCTTATCTTTTATGGATACAGAAAATAAGTTCCTACTAGTGAAGGTTATTCGCAGTTTAGCGGCGTTAAATGTTCTAATAGTTGGTGTTAGACGGTTTTTGATTACGTCTGGTGTTCGATCACCTTTAAATTCCAGACTTATATAAAGGTTTTTCTTCGGAACGGAGCAACTAGGTTTCTTGTCACAACTACTTCTATTCATATTCTTTTCTATGAACCGTTCTGGGTAACCATTTTCCGTCAAGGTTTTCTTGAGGAATGCGAGTTCTTCATTAATGCATTCCTTACTGCATATCTGATGTATTCGATAACATAAAGAATGGATGATGTTTCTCTTCCTACTAAACGGAACCCAGTTATATAAGTTGGTTAGCTGGCCATTCCATGTTTGTTTTCTAAAGATGGATCTTTTTAAAGAACCATTACTCTTCAACATTGAATATGATGTTATTGTATTCCATGTACATATCCTTAAAAAGAAGTACCTTTTGACTATATTTGAATACCTAT